CCCCCCCCCCAAGACAATGTGGAGTAGGTTGCATTGAACCATTTTGCAGGACAACAAGATGTCAACACACCTCCACCAACATATTTAAAGCTCCCACCTCCATGCCCCGCTCCACCTCATGCGAAATCAGCAGCGGGAGTCAACACGCTCATTCTATCCTCTGATAGGATGGCAATGCGTTGATTAGGACATAATCTTTATCATGACCCTCAGAGACCCACCTCTTGGGCCCGATGATCCAGACTGGCTGTAGTCCCCCGACGGCAGCTGATACCTGATGTCTAAAGTCAACACAAACACAACGTCACCTGCTCTGCTCAGCGGCTGCAAGTGTCGGCTTGCATACAGGGGAGTGTAGAGGCTTGTTAATTTTTTTGGAACGGCGTAATGGAAGAAACAACTGGATGCATGTCCCACAATGTCTTAATCCACTTGTTTGATTTTCACCTTGTTCAATGCTCAAATCGTAGTTTATAACCAACAAGGCTCTTTAATCTTCCACCTGAGGGAGCTGAAGACGCTCCGGTTAGACTCATGTTAAACACTGAATCCCTGCAGTAAATTTCCCCACACACTCAGGTCCAGACAAGAAGCCTAATGCACATATTTCTGGATGAAAGCAGAGACAATACACATGACGTCTCTTTGGCAGCGGCTGCTGTGTGATGAAAAGCTTCCATGACACATTTCTGCAGTGTGTTCACTGTGATCAGGGAAGATTTGACCTTTTAACAGAATCTACTGTTTATCATGAAGACGTCTTTTACCCGTTTCCTTCAGTCTGGTTCCTTTTGAGGATATCAGCGGCGGCTCAGGTACCGGACGGGAGGGTGCAGGGGTGGTCTGTAAACAGATCAAAACACTTTAAACTTTTAAAACAAACAAGTATTCATAATGATGAATAAACCAAGGTCAAATTGTTATTCTGGGTCTTTGAGAGAGAGTCTGGAAACATGACACAAGTCTTGCAACCGTGCAGCAGCTCTGCTCGTCTCCTCCCTCCTCGCTCACAGATTTACCGTCAACACAAACAAGCAGGGACGGCAATCAAAGTCAAATCAATCCTCATCAACATTGTCCACATCAGAAAAAGATTCAGCTGAAATAATAAAATCCAAACTCCTCTTTCTTACTGTTACCAATGTTTCCTGCAAAAAGCCAAGAGATTTCACGAGATATGCGACTTCTTGTTGAGCAAGACGTGCTCCGTTGCCAGACTCTCAGCAAAAACCAAAAATAAAATTTGAAGCCCTTAATTGGGAAGAAAATAAGCTTTGGTGGACATTTCTTGGTCGTCGCAATTGACCCTTAAGATTACATTGTAGCCACTGCAGCCATGTTGTGCGGATATGATCTACTTTGCTGATTCCAAATGTCATTGTAAGCGCCATTTATTTACAAACCCAAACTGTGTGAGTCACGGACTATGTCTACATCAAACGTGTGAAAGGGGTCAAGTGGGTTTATCTGAATGACTTTTGAGTAGAGTGAAAAGACACACTGACCCTGACACTGTGTCCCGTTTGTCTCCTCTCTCCATTGCCACTGCCGTAGTCCCCAGAGGCCTGAGAGACAAAACAAAGGTGCAAATCAGAATCAAAAGCCTTTGACAAAAATATTCAAAACACAAATACTCACCACGTCAGAGTCGTCCTCGTCGTCACACAAGCTCTCGGCAGCCTGAGGGTTTCCAACTACTTTAAACTCAGCGATCTCCCCCTAAACAAACAAGCAAGAAAGGCATTTTATTTTGCCACAGAGTTCAATTTGTGAACTTGAAGATCACTTCTTCATAAAGCATAAAAAATGTCTGTGGGTGCAACAGAACCTATAACACGAATATATTTACTCCAAAAGCCATGTGAGCGTCACATGTGGTCACCTGGGTGCATGCTAAAAGTCAGAGGTCAAAGGTGAGAGAGGTCAAGTAATACATTTAAAGGGAAGAGGAGGGCTAACTTCCTGTTTCCAGTGACCCCCCACACGAACCTGCCATGAGGTGCCACAGGGAGATATTAAAGAGGTCAGACTTGCACACACAACTTCACACACACATGTTTCTAGCACACAGTGTATTATTTTGTCTTTACCAGTTCCCATGGGAGACATTCAGACGAGGGCTAGTTGCTGCTTTTGATTAATTTCAGTGAGAAATGCGATGAGTAAACATCCCTTCAGCACTCGAGCATTTCCTCTGCCGGTGCCCCGGAGTTTATGGTTAGACGACGGACTTCTCTTTCAAACTAGTTCATTAAAAAAAGCCTCTTTCTTGAATTTGTTAAGTGCAAGCTCAGCACTTCATTAAGTGCTTTAGAGTTATGTCAGGAAAAGAGTTTTGAGAGAAAAATGGGGAAGTCCTGTCCCATTTTAAAGACTCCTCTAAATAAGTCAAGAAGTATTTGGATCAGGTGATAATCAATTACTGGTAAATATAGTTAGATTAATGTACTAGGACTATATTATTGTACATCAAAAGTACTTTTTAAGTCTGACACTGTGGGAGCCTACTCACAAAAGCCCAGTTGGTTTTAATTTTGGCAAATTGGCACTTCCTATTTGCTGTGTTTCCACTGCTGTGTGGTCAGCTATCACTACACTATGAGGAAATCAAAAGATGTGAAGATTGTAAGGAAAGTTAGCTGCATTTTTTTTTATTTCTGAGAAGATTTATGTTCCTCTTTAAGTCCTATGATAAAACACAATTTTTCTTTTTAGCAGGTGTGTCTGGGGAGACAATAATCTTATTTTAGGTTTGTCATCATATCGTCTCTGGACAAGGACGATACTTGCAGATGTTCCACTGAAGGCGTGATATTTTAATTTTTTGTTTCAGCAGCAAATAATTTAAAACTGTGACTATATATGAAGGATTAAAGGGATTTAAGGAAATGCAAGGATCAAATGTGCATGAGAGTAAAAATAGTACTGCACTATAAAAACTTCATCTTAATCTGCTTGTTTATGGGTTCAACACTTTATTTGTGTATTTCTTTACCTGGAATTTGTCAGTGTCGGCTCCTCCCGCCTGACCCACGAAGATCCCCGCCCCTGTGTCAAACTCCATGGGGTCCGGGGAGCGCTCAAACTTCTTCACCTGTTGCTCCGAGTCGCAGCCATGGTAGAAGGTCACCTGCTCCTCAAAGACGGACAGCGAGAAGCGACTCCAGGTGTCCACCATGCTTGGGACATTGAAGCTGGCTGCCTCGTATGAAGCCTCCGAGTCGGGCTCGGTGTAAAAGAACTGCACCCTCTGGAGGCCAGACTGCACCGCGCTGAGCTTGACGCCGACATACATGAGCTTCTGGGGCCCGTCAGTGATGGAGAAGAGGACGGATGCGGCGGGAGTGGTTGGCTTGATGTGGAAAAGGAGGGAGAAGTGGCGGTAGAATGGGTTGGGGAGGTGGGCCAGAGCCGGCTGGCCTGAAACCGTTGCAGAGGTGAAGGCATAGGCGGTCTCCCCTCTTGGCCCGTAGACCCTGGCGATCTCACTGGGCGGAGGGTCTCCTATCAGCTGGAGCAAGGAGACACCACTCTCCTCTGCAAGAGGAAAAAAACACTTTAAGGAGAAAGTTTCAAAGAGAAATCTGACAAACCTGCCTTCAAGTGCAGCTGTAAACACAAGAATTAACTGCATACTGGAGGAAACTGTTTTCGACAACATTTATTCATAACATTTTGTCAGCACAGCACAAAGAAACAAAGTCAAAGTATTTCTGATACGATCTCCTGCCGAAAGTCCTATGACGTCTGCAAAAAATCTTGAATTTATGAGTCGATGAGGGGCACTTGAAGGCAACATGAGTTCTAAAGACAGAGACAGTTTGAAGCACAGAAATGATCAGCAAATCACAAGTTCTTTGGAAAGTAAAACATCTTGACAACATCACGTTTACACGGACAAATATATTCTGACTATTGAACGCCTCTTGTATGGTCTTGTATGTCTTCAGTTGGGGTTTTTCTTTTGATTCAATGAACCTTTTGAAAACGTGCATTAATGCTTGGTAAGATGAAGTTATATTTGCTGCACAGTAGGAATCTGACTTAAACGAGTCACTGGCTAAACTTGCTGAACCATGAGAGGTGGAACAATGTCGAATAGCTGACCCCGGATTCAGTCAGTGATCACCGAGGAGTGGGCTTTAAGTGCCTCACATTCTCTTCCCCCCAACCCCTAACCTTTGTCCTATGTGGTTGGAGACGTCATAAAAACCGGATTACTAAAGTTTCCCTTTGCATTGATCAAAATAAAAACTTTTGCTTCCTGCAAGAACACATCCAGCACTAGAGTTAAGTAAGAAAATCTGTTTTTGTTTAATTTCGGGTGAACTTTAAATTAAACTACTACACTCTAACTGAGTAAAGCTGGACTCCAGTTTTATGATGACTGGAGGAGTCACTCAAATTAATGGAAAATCTGCTGACAGTTCAGTTCACATCGAGAATACCCCAAAGACTCTGCATCCTTGGGAGCTACTATTATTTTCTCACACATTTCCATCGCAAGGGAAAAATGTTCAGACACTTTGACTCAGCGATCTCCTGAGGGCGGCCTGTCATCGCAGATTCATGAGAGGAGCCGACCAAAAATTACAATCTGTGCATTAAGGGGTCACAGGGGTCAGCGATGGTGGGGTTTCCCCTAAGTTTCCAAGCATCGATGCTGAGAAAGCATCGAACGCAGCTTGTTAAAGTGTCACAGACGGTTAAGGAGTGAAAACTACCAGAGACGCCTTCGGAACAAAACAATAACATCATTCATCATTCATAATGGTGGCTGCACAGTGGTGGAACAGTCAAGTAGGAAACTAAAGCACTTAGGAGATTTTGATCCTTGTTATCATTAGTTAAAAACAATGTTCAGGTCACTATGAATGATTTACATTTCTATGTGTTTAAAATGATTAACTAACTAATACACTAGATTATTTTTAGATTCATTGTTCAATTTAAATTGATGGTTAGGTCCGATCATCCTGATAACCTTTTTTTTAACCTCATCCAAAGAAGAACAAAAACTCTAAACCAATTTCCAAAGAGCTAGGTGGAAGGTATGGGTCAGGGAAGAAATACCAGGTCAGGAGGTGGTGCCAGATGTGCCCCCCCCCCTTTCTTTAACCTTGAGAAATGTAATATTCATGAATTTCTCAAGAAATAAAGCAGAAATCTTAATAAAATAAAAGGTCAGGCAAGTGTGCTAATCCTAATATCTATGAACAGATTACATTTGGTGCAGATCTTGATAATTCTAATAGTTTTTGGGGGGTGATCTTTATTCAGTTACTTTACATCAACAAATATTACTTATCGTTATAGTCTAAAGTAAGGATATATTTTGCGGGTAAATAAAATCAATATCAACAAAATTCGTCATTGCTGAATTATTGCACTCAAGAGGTTTTGCTTTTAAACAGACTAAATATAGTTAAACAAGTCTTTCTCAAAGGAAATGATGCCTATTGCATATTTTCTCTGAACACAATGGAAGACGCTGTGGGAGAAAATATATGATTTTCTTTTCTCACTTTTTAGTTTATCACTTGCAGCAAATCCTCTTCTACCTGCTGAGAGGAAAGTCGCACTACTGTCAGGGACTGATATTAACGTGACATAACCGACTGCACTTCTGCACTCGCCAATCCAACGCTGTTAGGGAGTAATCTGAAACACATGTTCACACACATCCAGACACACACACACACAAACAAACACTGCTGCAAGAAGGGTGCACGTTATGTTGTCTCAACCTGCGCGGCTGCATCCTGTGGGATTTTGGCCAATTGGAGCGCGAGCCGGGTGGCCGAGTTCCCACTGAGGGCACCTGCTATTGGTTAATCTCACACTGACACAGCCGCTGCAGCTGCTGCACAGATCAAGTGGGTTAGATTATGTACGTAGGACTAAATATTTCAAATGATGAATGACAAGCTAAGAAGGCAATTTCCTCTTCACGTGAGATAGTTTGTCGAACATCTTTTATTTTTTCTCAAGTCAATTTCTGCTTTAATTCCATACAAATGCACATCTGGAAGTCGTCCGCTGCAGCCACAGGTCCTACCCACACTTGAACATGAAAAATGTCTGCCTACTCATTTAAAAAATTTTTACATAACAATTACAAACACGTTTCTAATTTCTTTAGCAGAGCTGCAATCTCAGGCTCTGAATTTGTTTTCTGTCACAAACTTTAGGTCACAACACATAGCGCTGTCCATTAAAAGGTCATTTCAAATCTGATCTGTAATCAGCTGCTGCTTGATCTCCAGAGAACAGTTGGAAGCTGGTACGGCAACCAAACGTGGGAACTTCGCCTGCGGAAGCATCATCGCGTAAACCCAGATGTCTGCTCATGGCTTCTTGCCCTGCTCCTGTCTCCGCTCTGACTCAGTTTGTCCATGCTAACAGAAACAACTGCATGGAAGCACATGGAACGCACAGCAATGTTTCACAGCCCTGACACCAGCGGCATGTAAAAAAAATAAAAAAGAAGAAGAAATAATAATAAGATGACCTCATGTATTCTGTTCATGTCTGTATTTTCCAACATGAAACCATGGAGAAATTCACAGCCTGTTTTACTGTGTGAGGAAACCAAATGCTGCCAGTGAAGAGAGGCACGGACAGACGGAGGCAGGAAGGAAATGCGTGTCAGATGTCCATGGGAAAGAACGACCATTAGGAACTCTGATGGGATGGAGTACAAAGAGGGAGAATCTGTGTTGATTCAAGATGCTGGTTAAAACAGGCTGGAATGTTATGGTGGAACAAATGGACCCCTCCAAGAGGTTTAGGGGGGTAAAGCAACTCCCCAGGGATAAGAAATAGAATTTCATTTGAGAATTAAAAATAATGAGGTCTAAAAACCTAAACCTAAAATCTAAAAAAGTCACCAGACCATCATTTATAACAGCAAATATGAACACAGCCTTCTTGGGTTAAAACAAACTCTGTTCGTGGAGATGGAGAAATCCATAGAATCATTAATAATTATTATAATTAGTGTATCATGCTAAATGATCCTTGTGTGAAAAGCTACAATACAAACGTATATGTGGTTATATAGAGTTCCATCCAAAAATGCTGCAGGTGAGTTTAACTTGCTCCAGTTTGGCCGTATTCTTTGCATGGATGGACGGATAAATGGAAAAGAGACAATTTTGAGCAAACAATGCCAGAATCATGAAAATGGACGACATCCCCCAAAGTGAAGCCAAAGTGTCTCCATTACCACCTGGTGGCCTGCTGCAGCATAGGTCATAAACTCACCTCCTCGATTTCAGCAGATGGGACATGCACATATCTAAAAGTCAAAGTGGAGAATGGTACACCATTATCAAAGTATGCCTCAACCAGAGCTCACGTTACCTCACTCTGAAAGCTGCAGTCCTCGTTAGGAAAAGTGAGCACTGCAATAACAAACTAATTAAACTGTGTAATGATACAGTGAGAGGAATCAGACGTATTTATACAGTTCAGACAGTCGGCTGCTTTACGTTAAATCACGTGAAGAAAACTTGTTTAGCCTTTAAATCCTGGGTGTCTTTAGGGGACGGGAGAATTTTTCAGAAGAAGCCCACTGATAATTAAGCCGGTGGCTTGATCCATGAACTAACCCCCCAGCTGTAGCTTTGTCCTCCTGGGACCTAAACAACTGGACTTCACACGTCTGAGAGGTGACGCAGCTGCCACACAGTCAGACCTTAATCCGTGTTTGAACGAGACGAGAGCCGAGAGCCAATTAAAGTTGACTGATGGATCAACATTTTTTTTTTCACCCTTTCTTTCTCTTGTTTTTGGTGGGGAAATTCAAAATAGTCTGGTTTCTTGGCCACAGTGGAGATATCAGCATGTGGATATTTGACTTTTTAATATATATACAGTAAATACTTTAATTAGACTGTGAAATTAAATAAACTGGACATACAGTGTTTTAACCCTGCTGGTAGGGTTTTAAATTCCGTTTTATTCCTATAGCAGTTAACTGAGTGTTTTAGTGACAAGTACTAAAAGAATACTGGATCCTATATTCCCCATAATGCATCTCAACCCTCTCTCTTAATCAAGCTCTTCCTACCCGGCATTGACAAGTTCCAGAATCCACACCCTCATGCAGGGATTCTGTCATTAATGTGTGGTCTCAAGCTGAGGTGATTTACAGCCACAGAAGACAATACGCCACTATTCCCACATTAGTGAATTTATCACTGCTCACGATGGCCATAGTGAAGTGACCTTTTGTGCAGAATTGACGGATTTACTGCAGGATCTGCAACCAGCTCCTCACAAGGCAAACGGAAATGATATATACATGTCAACTGGCCCAAAATGCAACTTAAAATTCAGCTTGTTTTTGGAAACGCTGCGACTGTGAACTGAGTTAAAGAGCGGGTAATTCCCCTGTTGTCATGAAAGCCCCTCTCACACTTTGTCCCACTCTCTGTGTCTGTGCATCTTCTAATGTTCGGCCAAATACACAATTACCACCCATTAAGTGTAACTGGTCATGGAGGTTGGAGGCGACTGGCTGTGCCCTCTGACCCTGGGCAGAGACTCGAGCCGCCTTGTCTCATCCCGGTCACAAGGCTCTCTTGTTACTTAGCACGACTCCGTTGCCCTTTCTCCCAAACTGATCGCACAATCGCCACGCTCTTTCTCCGGAGCGGACCATTTTCCCACCCACAGCCACTATCAAAAATGCCATCCTCGGGCCCTCCCTCGCGGCCACAGATGGCCCGATTGTTTCCCTCTTGAGGACTCGGGATGCTAAGACACCATTCGTTCACATTCCACACCGGCTGATCAGAAATGGTGAAATGTCAAGGAGGTAGCAATGCGTGACTGGCATGCAGGAGAAGGATGTTACGAGCGGAACAGAGTGATTATTGCACCATCATAAATTTCTTTTGTCCAACCAAGAGTATATAATGATACTATCACAAGAGAAGCGTGGATTGCAATATGTGGAAGTAAATCATTTATCCTGGATTCCCTGAGAAAAGCCCTGAAAACACTTTGAGTAGGAGCGTTAAATGAAAGCTAAACATCTCATTCCTCCCTTTTTCTTGTCCTTTGCAGGTGTAAAGTAAAGACAGCTGCACAGTGACTAATTGTAAAAAGCCAGTTTCATACATCTTGTTGGAAAAAACGACTCATGGGATAAATAATTCTGCACCACATGCTGGGCTTTAGCAGTAGTCTCTCCTGCAGGCTCAAACATTCACACATTTCTCACACATATCTGTGTTTTATAGCAAAGAGGCTTCTAATCTTTAGCTTTAAGTGCAGTTTAAGAGGTTATCCAAACAAGAACGCTGCATATGGAACATGGGAAGCAGCAAAACTGTCTCCTGTTTAAACCTGGAACATATGTTAAATAGTCCTGCGGGACAAAATATGATAAAGGGGGTTTTAACACAGCAAAGTTCGTGCTCAGCCTTTAAATTGCACGAGGGCCCCTGGAGAATTTCCTGTCTTAAGGGTTTACTCTCAGGGAAATTCTTCTAAACTGTATATGTTATATTCAGTTAGTGCACTTTTGATAATATAAATGGACTAGATATCCCCTGAATACATGTAGAGAGTAATAAAATGTGAGTGGAACACTGCGTAATGCATTTGCTCAACTTTTAAATGTTTCAAAGCTCTGCAACTATTTTCAAAAGAACCTGTGACGTAACATTGCTGACCATTACTGATGTACATCACACACATACAAAAAACGAGGAGGTTTTGAGCTGGGACGAGACAACCACACCAAAACGTGCAACGCATGCATCCTGCGGACAGTGACGTGAACTCGCGGTGTTGCGTCATGCGCCGACGAGAGCCTCCTCTGGACGTGCAGCGGACACAGAGCAGCAGCAATAGCGACTGCAAAGATCAAACTGAGTGTTTTTGCATGTTTTAACCATTAATTGCTGATTGTTTATCATTAACATTTCTGGCCACCATGCTTCTACCTCGAAGACATCCTGTGCTTTCTGCTGTTGTAATTATAGGCTGGTGCAGACTCCATACCTGCTTGATTTAAAACATGGAGAACATCATCTTGTAAGTGCATCAGTAATTACAATGCAATTGCAATAAAATGTATAATTTTTTTATATTTATTCGACTTATGGTATAGTGATGCAACTACTCTTTAAGTATAAAGCTATACTGTGGCTGCAATGTTACCTCTCATCTCTTATGAGCTGTCTTCTTCTTTTTATTGTTTCTATCCTTCTAATTGCTTTTATTTATTACGTCTTGTATGTAGTTGCATGTGCCCAGCGACTAATGTTATAACGAACTATGTCATATACAATCTGGAAGCTTGTGGGTTACAGAAGCACAAACCAAAGTTTGTCTTGAAGATGGTGCAGGGGAGGAGACATTGACTTTAACGTGCACCGATATGTGGATATCTACACCTCTAAATCTGCACCTTCAAGTGCAATGCAACAATAACAATACTTCAACAACAATAAAAGCAGGTATGATGTTTGGATCACCTGTCTGAAGTCCCTTCAGGCTGATTTTATGACTCTTTCAAGGGGAGGTGCCATGGTAGGTGTAAAAAAAAATGGATGGTGTTTAAATATGGCGAAAACATGCAAAAACCACATTTGTCACGAGCAAAGATCCACAGTGACAATCAAGTGCTTGGACGTGTGCAATACCTCAACAGACAGTGCACAAAGACACACAGACTTGAGCGCTGTAACATCAATGACGAAAAGGTGACATGACATCGGATTCAAAATGTATCAGCACACACGATACATTCGAACCCGCCGGGGTTACCTTTCCAGTTACTACTTGACACGCATGAGGGCTCCTCTGCTCTTTCAGGCAGGAGGCAACACTCCACCGGGAGTCGCCCGTTCTCCAGGGACGCCCAGCAGCTGTCCCGCAGGACGTGGCAGAAGCTGCGGCAGGGCAGGAGCGAGGGGCCTCGGGGCGAAGGGCACCTGGGGGCCAGCAAGAGGCAGAGGAACCACTCTGTGCCGTGGTGACACCCCGCCCTCGTCAGCCACGCCCACTCCTGCAGCGCCGCCCCCACCTCTTCCACAGATGTGTGGTTGAAAAAATTGGGCAGCGTGAAAAACTTTGACTGTTTGCCCGAGCAAATGGACCAATCAGAGGGCACGGGGAGACACCGTTGGATGCGACCATCGACGGGGGTCGGCTTTGAATCCAGAGCACCCCCAAGAGTTCCGTTCACTTTAAAAACATCACCGGTTAAATTGCGAGGCAGGACTTTATCACCTGTCGAGACCGATTCGAGATCTGTCTCAAGATCATCTGTGGACGCTGATCCTGAGCCAGATCCATCCCCTGCACCCACCCCAGACCCCTCCTCCAACCTCTCCCCTCGGAGCCTGTCTGTATTACCCGTCATGTTCGGGGTCACGCTCTCCACCTTCTCTGTGAGGCCTGCGTTAGTAGTCGTGGCGGTCGGGGTCCCGTTCCACGCCTCGACAATCTTACGGATCCCTGTGGCAACGTCAATGATTTCTTCCCCAAGCCCGGACAGGTTGTCATCCTCCTCCTCCACCTCCACCTTCTTCTCTGTGCCATTGAGTGTCACGGTGGCACCTGTCGCTGCCGTCGTCTCTGTTGGGATTTCTGTGGTGGGATTTGGTTTTGGGATCCAAAACCAGGCCTCCAGGCTCCCAGAGCAGAGGACCAAGACAAGAAGCCACGTCTGGATTCTCCACATGCTGCCGGCTCCTGCAACAGTCCTTCCAAGTGATCCACACGGCGCTCTCACTGTTTCCTCCAATAAGCGCCACCTGTTAGCCAGCCGGTCAGCAGTTCAATCCAAGCTGTTGGAGGGCCACTGAGCATCCACTGAATGAGAGCTGCAACATAAAAACTCCCACTCTCAGACCCTCCCTCCAGATCTCAACTCAGTACAACACTGCTGCAAACTCCCTCATAAAAAAAAAAAAAAAAGCTTACATGGACGGGGGGAGACAGAAGTGTGGGGGGAAGGCTTGCTATATACTGAAGCTGCTGGAAGTCATTGGTTACTCAAGAGTTGCCCCGACACACACTCCTCCCTGTGTGAGCTGAAAAGTCGCTCCCCTAAGACCCTTTTCTACCACATGAGAGAAAAAGAATGCAAGCGTGCCTGTTACCGCAATGACACACCCATCCATGCACAGAAGAAATATGGAGTTTTTAAAATACTGTTTGACCACAATAAAAAGGTTCTGATTAGGATCATTCTGAATTCAAAGCTGTCAAACGCAAGACATTTAGAAGACGTGACCTTGAGTTGCAGAAAGTTGAGTCGTCAGGGATCTGTTGTTTTTAAATCACATTCTGGCACAATTCTTAAATCCAGTTTAAGGATTTAAAGGAATTTTATTTGTCACATGCACAGAGATGCAAGGTAGAACATGTTTCTGTGCAGGCATAGCAAAGGGATCAATAATAAAGAACATAAACTAGATAAATAAAATAGCATTACATAAAATAAAATACTAGTACATTAGGTCGAAGACTTCGTAAAAGCTCTCTACACACAGAAAACATGCAGGCACATTTTCTCAAAACCACTTAGATGACAAGATCGACGCCACACCAGGTTAATTAAACAAGACACAACATGTTCATTTAATGAGTGTTAGATGTAGACACTTTTTAAAGGGCTAGACATTTAAAGTATAAAGTAATAAACAGATTATTCCTATAATTATGTTCTCTCTCTTCTCTCATGTGCCAACTATCATGTGATCACTGTGGCTCTTTTCATAAGAAATAAAAGTAGAATTACTGCACTGCGGTTCTATGCCCCCACCAACCTGAAAGGTTTCTATGTACATATTTCTACATACTTTACCTTTAACCACTGAACATAATCACTTTATCCAAAAATCTTAGTCCACTGTCACAAAAACTAACAACCATCCATCCATCCATGATCTATACCACTAAGGGTCTTGAGGCTCTGGGAGGCAAGGAGGGAAGGAAGGAAAGAAGGAAGGTTGCTTCCCTGCTTGCTTGCATTTATTCATCCATCCATCCATCCTTTATCTATTCCACTTATCCTTAAAGGAAAAAAGACTCAGGAAAGGAAGAAAGCAAGAATGGAAGGCAGGCTGAAAGGAAGAAAGGAAGGTAGGAAGGTTGCTTGCTTGCTTCCAGCCATCTATCCATTGATCTATTATTTAAAACACTTATCCTTTTAAAATTGCAGGGCTTTGGAAAGGAAGGAAGGAAAGAAGGTAAACACAGGGGAGAACATGCACACTCCTCACATAAAGGCAGGATCTGAAACGTGCCGCTCATCTTTGTTTAACTAACATTATTTAAAAGTGTCAAATAATCAGCCAGTTAATCAGTAGCTGCAGCGTGGTCGCTCAGGCTCTCAGAGGTTCTGGGGTTTTTCTCTAATCTTGCATGTTTCTTGTGAATTAATGTGCAGTTGTACCTGTGGAGCAACATATAGGTTGAAAACAACTGGAAGCAGCCAACTGGTTATAATGATACAGATCAATGCCCTGCAGCAGATGCAAGCAGAGACAAAAAGACAAATGTTCAGTTACACAATGATGACATGTCGTTTTGATTTATTGCCTCGTTTCAAAGAGAAGCGATATTGTGTTCGACTACTATCACCACAGACTCACTCTGCTGATTAACAGCTCGGTGATGAGAAAGAAAAGCAAACACAGCGAAACCCAAAAGTGAGGAAAAGTAAAGCAGCAGAGTGAGGGGCATGAATGAAAGACAGCAGCTGAGGGAGCGAGGACGCCAGGGAGGGCGTGTCTGATTGGATCAGCAGCTTAAGCTTTTCTCCCGGGGGACCGACTCCATTGCCTCATCGCGAAAAATCCTCGGAGAATGTACCACCTCCAGGTTCTCACAGATGGGCGATAAGGGAAGAAGGGACCCCCTCCACCTCCGCCTTTTTTCCAGGCCTTCTCCTCCTCCTCAACGCTGCCCTGAGTGCCCCCATCATCCAGCTCCCCGCCTCATCTGCCAAGCTAGGACATCCAGCTGTTACACATTCCAGCGCTCAGACCTCCCACACCCACGCTGCATGTGACATGTGGAGATTTGGAAACTGCTGCATCTTGATCACTTGTGCATTCATCCGCCATCGCTCCTGCTGTCAGCGTGTGAGCCGGAGGCGCACTGAACCAGACGCTGAGCAGAGCTACTTTTCTGCTTGGGAAACTGGACTGGATGCTGTGTCTGTGTGTGTCAGTGTTTGTGTCAGTGTGTGTGTTTGTGTGTGTGTGTGTGTGTGTGTGTGTGTGTTTGTGTGTGTGTCAGATCAAGAGTTTTGGCCCAAAGGTCACCAATCCCAGTCAAAGCTCAGTGCACAATTTGATCAAGTATATCTTGACTTGACTTTCTCATCACTATACCACAACAATGTCCATTCAGAAAAATATAACTGCGCCAACAATAGAAAATTAAATAGCAACACCAAAACTGAGCATTAATGAGTGGCAACGGTTCTTTATCTGGGTTGTATTACAGGGAAATAGTTTTAGAATTTAATTGTGTGCAATTAAATTCTAAAACTCAATTTTCTTTTTGACAAAGAAGTGATTTCCAGGAGTACAGCGTCAAATGTCAGCAAATATTTTACGCTGGAAAGTCCCACAAACAAACAACGACATGTAAGTAAAATGAATTGATTGTTTCATATTCCTAGATTGATATACCTGTAATTGGTCCTCGGTTGTGACCGTCAAACTACATAATAGAAGAAGTTCTATGGCATCACTTCCACATAGGGTTAGTAGCATACAGCTGTTGAAATACATTATGTAAGTTATTATTTATTCAGTGCTCAGATCAGTACTCGGTATCAGCCAAGTATCAGAAGGGTTAGGGCATCAGGAAGGGGAAGATGGTATCTCTAGTAAATATGCTGTTATACTCAATACCTGACTGTCACAAATAATAAAATCCTATATGTCTTATTGTTGCAGCTATTACAAAAAGCAATTACAGAGATTGATTTTTTTTGACACAAGAAAAAAGCCTTTTTCTTACTAAAGTTGATTTCTTAAACACATCTGGACTCAAAGCGCAGGTTCGACTTTTTCCTTCATCATCGACGTATACCAGTTAATACATCAGCATAAAGGCCCTGCAGACTCTCCCATATACACGTGTGACCCTCCCTCTGTGTTTCCAGCACTTTTCATCACTATCAGCTGTCAGCTGCCCTGACCTGCACAGGGCCATGAGCAGGGTAAGTAAACACACCGCGGCATTATGCTCCAGTGAGTCAGTGAATGTAACTTCATGAGGCCACCTGGTGCAGTAATATGTACATATACATACAGTTGGTGCAGCTTCTGCAGCTGCATGTTAAAGCTCCATTGGGAACGTGTCTCCTTAAAGAAAACATTTCCCCCTTAAACACTTCGATCCCATCGGTTTCTGACTTTCACTGCATTTTTCTCTCTGCACTGGATTTCCCAGCATGCTTTTCAAGTAGCCCTGGAAAATGTGCATGGCCTGAACATGTTGATTTTATTTCGGAAGGAAGCCCTTGGGATGTTTGGTGTTCCTTTTCAAAATTGTTGTCTCCAGGAACAAAAAAACTCTGAGCTAACATGTGCACTACTTTTAAAAGAAACAGTTAAAAATGGAATATGACAAACTTTTTTAAACAAAGATTTTTAGAAGTAAACACAGGGCTGTCCACTTCAAACTAAATAGACACAAATTGAAAACCTTTAACTTTTCTTATTTCCCTCTATTGCCTGGTGACTGATGTACAGTAAGTTGTTTGTATTGGATTCAGCTTATATGTAAATGTGTAAATAAGTGCAGAGGCAGTGCCGATGACAGCATGTCAGGGCTGTCCACTTACTTACGGCCATGCAGGATGGATGGAAGAACTGTGAATGAGTCCTAACAGTAAGGGAGGATGTGTAACGGCATTATGGGATATTTGTGAGAAAGAGAGAGGGAGGGAGTGTATGACTTGCAGCTGTACTAAATTACCAAAGGAAGGGCTAAATCTCTCCCAACCTCGACTAATCAACTATCGCCATGGCAACAAGATCCTTCCGGAGACTGCCGGGGCGACCGAACGCAGAGAAATTACGACTTTAGCATTTGTGTTTAAAGAGTTTTCCTCTTGAGTTGTTTGCGGCTGATTAAATCTCTGCATCTGAGATGGTGTCTCTCTATGACAAGTGGGGACGAGGCAGGAGTTCATACCCGTCACCAGCAGACATACTTGCACTGCGATTAGTTAAATTTACAGACACTTAAGGTTGACATGTTTGTAGAGCCATTAATCAGCAAAACGTTTGCCTCATTTAACCTGTACATCTCACAAATTGCAAAGTCAAAGCCCTTGTTGCTGCTTCTTCTCATTTTCCATCTTTTGTCTAATAACCGTGCAGTCTCAGGACAATCCGAGCAAGCGTGCATGTGTGCGTCCCTGCTGGGGTTTCACAGGCCAGGCAGCTCCAACGTCTCAGAATTTAATTGGTGTATCATGTTACCGTTTCCCACAGGGATTCCCAGCAGTTCACATGCTAAGATATATGTGTTGGCCATAAAATACTGGTGAGGGGACACACATGCTGTCAGCAGGGAGGTAGGAGCGTGGAATGGTGTCCACAAACCTTTGGAAATGCAGTTTTCCACTCATGTACTCACAGTACTTGGGTAAACCAGCAGATGGCAGAAGCACATTGTATTTATGTTACAGGAGATTTATTCTCTCACTCTTTGCAACAGCTTTTATTCAATCAATCAATTATCTCACCAGGAAATCTAAATTATTTATTTAGTGCAGAAAGGCCTTGTTGCATAATGTGAACTGTGAACATGTGAATGCACAAGAGAGAAAATGTGAATAAAAATCAGCTTAAACTGCATCCAAAAAAATAAGCCTGCCTATTTATCTTTTATGATTTTTCCAAAATGTTGTTTCAAAACCAAAAACTGTTTTAATGGAGCTACCAAAAAATGCAGAAAGAATAAATGCTGCCACCTGTTGTCTAAAGCCTGAAGTACATGCAAAAAAGAGCCTCTGCATAAATATGCATTAAAAACCAGTTTATTATTATTTATATGTTAGTTACTTAATAG